AACGCACGAAGTATCTGCCCTAAACACTGGTCTCGTCGTTGTGAGTACGGAGGGGAAATCTTGTTCATCCACTGGTGGCCAACACACGACCGCACTCAAGGTGCCAGGTGGACTGGACGGTCATGACCCGTTCCAGTCCAAGACTTTACAGAGCTCAGCACACAATCGTTCCTCATAGAGAGCAAGGCCTGTATTTTATATTCGTCAGATATCTTACGTCAACCACTTTGTTCACACTGGTTTGGTTGCACACACGTGTTACCCACTCATTGATGTCTATCGAGGCACACACTGAACTGCCTTCCTCTCGGTTATCCCCATAACGCGGGGGTCGCCTTCCAAAAAGGGGGAAGCGAGACTCCATCGAGACCAGGGACCCTATTCTTGAAGTCATGAGAAAATTCTCGTATGCGGAAAATCTCGCATAATTTATATCGAATGACAGTCAAGAATTCTATTTTTGATTGTCATTCGAGTTGCAATATGCGAGGAATTCCGTATACGAGATTCGTGCGGTATTGCCGCGGTTCGACAGAGATTAATAGCCAATTGCGATGAAGTTTGAAAAGAAAGCTGTAGGCGTGTCTGTAATCCAACACACAGTCAGGTACACATTACCGTACAATTAATTGTTTACTAAAACAGAAACCAAAATGGCAGATAAAGAAGCGTCGGAACGAGGATACTTTAATGGAGAACCGAAGAATTATCTTATTGTTAAGTAATGAATTTTCGTCCTGAAGGGTCGGCATTGCTTATTGAGGTATTAGTACAGTGTTTTGCTAAGTAACTTTAATTACAGAATTCATGGGGAAACACCCAGAATTACGAAGAGGAAAGTCTTAGCCACTTTTTCCCACAAGCAAGTCCAAAAGCTATGGGAGGAGGTGACGGAACAGTTAAACGCGATTCCGGGCGTTGTAAAGGAATGGAAACAATGGAGAAAGGTACGTACGCATCACATCTATGGACGACTCAAGGTATTTGTACACAGGAGAAAAATTCTGAATCCTTGCAGAAGGATGAATACTTTTTTTTCAATGCATTGATCAGCAAATACTATTTCCAATTATCAATACTGTCATCATCCGATAAAACATGTATTTGGTGCGAAACATTGCAGACAGACTCCGAACTTTAACCAAAGCGAAAAGTGCAGCGATTTTGAAGTATGCGCAAGAAACTGGCGGTGGATCTTCTGGCCAAACATTATCACAATTTGAAGAGAACGTTTTAACATTAATAGGTACAATGGCTGCGGAAGGTCACCAAACCATTAAAAAATCCACCGGAAATTTTGTAAGCAATCATTTTTATATTTTACTATCACTCTTTACAGAAAATATAAAGTGTAGAAAATATAGGATTGAATGTGAAATTAAAGTCCTTTCTTGGGAATAACAGCAACATCTGATAATAAATCAGACAATTTCCATTTTTTATTATCAATTATTCACTCCTTGAATTTGTTCTTATCGATGTCGTTTCCTTGACAGGACTGGGGTGATGATTCAGAAAGTTACGAAATCGAATACATGGATGAGTATATAAATGCCAGCGTAGTACATGTCGAAGAAGATAAGGAAAACCAAGATGTCAATAACAATGATAAGAAGTCGATAAATACAGAAACAGTAACGACAGAAAAGTTCCCGACAACTTATAATACCTCAGTAAAAATTCCGAGAAAAAATGTAAAATCCCGGAAAAGGGCATCCCGAAAACAAGTGCAGCAAAAAGATTTGAAAAATGGATAAACCATACGAAGAAATTAGCCGTAATTTCTCAACAACAATACGATGTGAACAAAAATTATTCTTGCATTACAGGAAAATAATTACTGTCGTTCCAAATATAAGAATCATGAGTGCTTCCAGAATATCGGGAATTGACATTTATTATTTTCAGATCTGGGCCACATATCTGAAAATTAGATTTCAATAGCATCATCTACATAAATGTCTGGTTAATTTTAGAATTTTATTTTCCGACCAACTGGTCGTTAATCAGGTGATATTCTTTTCCATTAAGGTAAATACGTTCCGGAAATTGTTGGTCGTCTTTTGAAAGTGGGAAAATCGCTACATGTGTACAATCTATGCAACCAATAACTCCAGGAAAGCGGTGTTCCATCCAAAATCTGTAAAAGTAAACTAAATGTAGTCGAATATGTATAGACATGACTATACAAAATATAAGTTTTCCCTCAGCTGTTACGCAACTGTTCTGCCTAATCAGTCGATTCGAATACAACACTTTTTTTAAGGGTATTAGACCAAACTGTCCGAAACATTGACACGTCACTCCTGATCATCTAAGAATTGTCCTAGCACATTCAAAATTTGGATTTTTGGACAAAATTTGTTAACTTAGCCCAGACTAGAACCAAAATGGCGTCGAGTTCTCATATTTCGATCAATATTATTACGTAGACACCCTCCGTACAATAACGTAGGGAAAAACCCATTTTTCGATCACCGGAGCTAGCCATGGAAATCCGAATATGGAAACGCGATTAGGAAACTCTTGCGAAAGGATCCAACAAGTTCATCGGCCAAACGGCTCCAAAAGTCATCGATCGACCCGGGGCGAACAATCTGATGACTACGCAACGCATCAGCACGACCCAGAAACGCCACCCTCACCTGGGCCCTAGGAAACCCCCACCAATTGGAACACCCTGCTAATAAAACCAGCAGCCAGATCGAGTCGACATGTTAGTTAGTCTTATGTCTCAAGTCTTCAATCAAGTGTCATATCGTCGGTCATCACTGACTTCGAGTGGAGCTCCGGGTCCCCGGTATTCCGTTCCTAGCGAGTCAGAGACCGAGATCGCCGGACTCCCTGTCAAGGACTACTATCCTGCGAGCTGCAGTAGTGCCACCCGGTACTCCAGCGATCCTACCACCGAGTCAGACCAGACGGCGGCACTGCGACTTCCGTTGGACGGGAGGCTTCTAGGAGACCTCCAACCCTAGGGCACGCCACGGGACGAAGGTGTTCACGCACAGTCATCCGGCTGGGTCGATCACCCGGTAAGAAGGCTGGAATTCATTGGAATTAAACATTTTAATTCCAGTGAATACCTGATTTTTCCACTGCCCTTCATTCCATTGGCGATAAAAGAAAAAAGCAAAATCTAATTCCTATCAATTCACTCTGAAAAATAGAGAGGAATGGGATTCAAAGGAATTTAAAAATACGAGAATAGGAATAGGCAAAGGAATATGAATCTCAATACTCTTTGTGGAAGTGAGACAAATTTTTTTATTTACACGGAAAAAAAGAAAAAAACGAAAAAATTCGATTTTTATGATTACGTACGTTATACTTAAGTTCCTGTCAATGTCCTCATATATTTCTACCTTAAGTAGTAAAATAATATTTGATGCTTAAAGGGATGCTTTCTCGATGATAACTTCCCTTTTCCCTCTCCTTCGAGAAGGGGTAGGGTCATTATAACATAAATGCAAGGAATAATAACAGGTCTTATATGCAAACGAGCTGTCTGCATGGCCATCTGGTGGTTCTGTCGAAACTAATGGTGCCAAACCATTGTTTCCGTAATTATATAAGCAAGTTTAGAGTAACCTTGTAATATGTAAAATCTTACTATAATTGTGGTTACAGCTACCAGATAAACCTTGTATCTTATTATAGTTATTATAAGCTGTTCATAAAGTTAATATTACCATTTGAAATGTTGATTACTACTGCACATTTTAAGCCCAGCGCCATGGACACAGTACCTATTGGCAAGGTTACGTTTATCATTCTATGTGGTCAATTTCACTATTTGTGCGGTTTCATTTACCACAGTACTTTGACCATGTCGCTATAGTAATTATAACAAAATTATTTCTTTCCGTGTATTGACATTAAAGGCGTAACTAATTATTGCGTAATTTACAATGGCAATTTTTTACAATTCTTTCCAATGATACCTTCTCCTCACTTTTGCACATAAAAGATGTGAAATTTTATGTTTATTTAGTAATTACTTTTTAAAATGCATGAGGTTTAATCAAATTTATATTTGGAATTCAGGAGAAAACAATACATATGAAACCAATCTCAAATATTGAAGTTCAACTACTTAATCTCTCGGGTATATAAAGTGGAACTGATTTAAATTTGAACTTATAAACTTATATTCCAAAAAAAGAATTCAAGGCAATTGAATGTACAAATTTTTTAAAGGAATTGGACGGAATTAGGCATTCCTATAATGTGTTCCTCTGAACGGAATACAAAACAATTTAATATCGACATTTCTTGCCGGAGTAGAAGGAATTAAACAAAGCAGAAATATATTCCTCTTTTCGGAATTGCACAAAAATCAGAATACAAAAGGAGAATAGATTATAATTGATTCACAGAAAATATAATCCTGCTGTGGGAATCGGACCTGGAGAGAAAAATCAGGTATTAAATAGATTAGAAAAATCCTCACTTTTACGTTGAAACTATGAGACATTGAATCCTATTGTATTCAAGCCTTTTTACCGGGTGCAAAGGAGACTGTCACCGAATACGGCCGCTGATCAAGCCAGGTAGAGGATCCTTCGCAAGCACGACTCATCCTCATTTCATTCTAGTTTATTCTTCTAGTCTTCAATCAAGTGTCATATCCTCGGTCATCACTGACTTCGAGTGGAGCTCCGGGTCCCCGGTATTCCGTTCCTAGCGAGTCAGAGACCGAGATCGCCGGACTCCCTGCCAAGGACTACTATCCTGCGAGCTGCAGTAGTGCCACCCGGTACTCCAGCGATCCTACCACCGAGTCAGACCAGACGGCGGCACTGCGACTTCCGTTGGACGGGAGGCTTCTAGGAGACCTCCAACCCTAGGGCACGCCACGGGACGAAGGTGTTCACGCACAGTCATCCGGCTGGGTCGATCAAAGGAGACTGTCACCGAATACGGCCGCTGATCAAGCCAGGTAGAGGATCCTTCGCAAGCTCGACTCATCCTCATTTCATTCTAGTTTATTTCTTAACCCCTCATCTCCGATCAAACCGAATTCTAACCACTATCGCGATTTCCATGCCTTGCTCCCGTTAACCGGATAGATTAAGATCCCGTTAATTTCCTTCTAAAAGGTAAATATATATTTTTGTTGCCAAAATACTACAACGCTGTAGTGTCCGGCATTGCTGACAGGATCCGGTGAAGGATAATGGGAAGTTACAATTTTTGGCATAACAATATATTAAATAAACTAGATATTAGAGTAAAACGCAATAAAGGAAAACATATCGAGTTGTATTGTCGATGACTATCTAATAAAATGGTGAACACGGTTCATTATTCTATAATAATATTGATGATCTGTTTAAGAAGACTTAATACTGGCGGTAGGACGATCGCTTCTGACTGGTCTGTTGACGGTTTTTTCCGGGTAGTCCTCGGGCGTATGGTTTGTGTGCGTTTGTTGACAGATAAAAGATGCCTCGAGCTCTGAAATTTCCAACCATAAGAACAAATTAGCCATCAGAATAGCAGTAAGATCTCGCTTGATAAACATGCTGTTAATCATTTTTATGAATTTATTATTGGTGTACGAGAATATGTACATGCAGGGATCCAGATTTCTAAAAAATTGGAAACGCATTTTCTTAAAATAGATACTAATGCGGAAAGAAGCTTGAAATTCCAAAACGAGCTGACATCGTGCATGTCTCGCTATCGTGACGTTTACAAGCAATTGACCAATCGACCGTCATCACAAAAACTGATCACTGACTTTATGGTACTAAAAAACAAATCAATTGAAGTCCTATCTTCAAGCGACGAAAGCGATTTTCAACTAATTCGTCACAAGAAGATGCGCGTTTTGGATTACGAGTAGCAGCGAACTATTTAATGTACAATTTGAAAACTTCCCCATGTATATGTACAATGAAAAATTAAATGTTTTTACCATTTTTCCATGTCTAATTTAATTTAATTGAAAGCATTCTCTCATATATTTCGTAAATAATTTGTGTTTTCTAAGTGCGATTTTTTTATGCGGTCCCTGTCCGCCGCATAAAAAAAATTTTAGGTAGTATATCGTACAAAGTTGTTTATTATGTGTAAGTATTTATAAAATTTCCAAATATTTGTTTGTACGATTTCTTTTATGCGGTCCCTATCCACCGCACAAAAACAGGGTTTACTGTATTCATTTATAAAAATCATCGCATCATTTGTTTATGGTTAATGTAAGAATATGTACATAGCCATGTGCAAAGTTCTTACAATGGTAAGTGTTATGCACGTAAGGTGAACCAAGTATGCTCCAAATCGAGATTTGAAACCCATTCATTGGTCTAAATCATTGGACGTCTCGCTTGCGAATGGGTCATCGATGAATTCCACTCTCATTGATGGATCAATTGGGGCCTACATTGTACGAGTTCGTTCTTAACACATTCGCGACCAGCAAATTTTCTCCGTTTCAAATACTAAGTACCGGCGAAAATAATGAACTTCTGAAACTGGTCGCCGCAAACTTGTATCGTGTATCGTTATGGACGTGATTCACGTCAGCGGCAATCAGGAATAGAATTTAAAATGACGTGAATTCACGTCAGCGGCAACCAGGAATAGAATTTAAAATGACGTGAATTCACGTCAGCGGCAATCAGGAATAGAATTTAAAATGACGTGAATTCACGTCAGCGGTCGCGAATGTGTCAATGACGGACTGTGTTGGATGACGACAATTTATGAGTCACTCGGACCCAAACTTTCCCTTCCTAAAAACCACGAGCCCCTTTTCAGCAAAAACTGTCGGGTAAGTCCCTGGACCTTCGGGACCTTGCAATAACTCTAACTCAACGTTTTTGCTCCCATTCATCTTCATTTAAGACCGAGATTTTCACTTTTACAACATTGTTTTCCGAAGTAGTTTCCCACTCCTCTAGATCCTTAGAAATCCTCATCTCGTAGTTTCTCCAAATTTTCTGTAATACTATTGGCCAACACTTTTTTTTAAGGGTACTTGACCAAACTGTCAGAAACTTTGACACATCACTCTTAATCATCTAAGAATTGTCCTGACACGTTAAAACTTGGATTTTTTAAAAAAATTTGTTAACTTAGCCCAGACCAGAACCAAAATGGCGTCGAGCTCTCATATTTCGATCGATATACAATTATCGAGGGCTCTGATATAAGAATCGAAAGGGTTAGGACAATTTTACGACAATTTAGAACACTCTGGTAATCGATAAACTCGCATTTGAACGGGATAAAGGCAAAAAAAGTGTTGTATGCGCTTCTATGCTAAAACGATGGGAATACGAGGTCTCGGAGTGAAGATTTAATTGACCTGGAAATCACAGATGGCGCAGGGGGTCCCTCTGCAGTCAATTAGGGCCCCAGAAAGCATGAATTCAGAGGATTTCTGGAGTTTTGCTTCGATTTCTTGATAATTATTGTACGAGAACGACAGATGGAGTATGTCATTTGGTACAATACCCAATATAATTCAACCCAGCTGTCAATATAAAAACGAACGTCGGCAACGTTGGCATTTAGAAAAATCTGCTTTATCGACGTCGATTAAGTTACTCGACGTGTTTCACTTCACCTTAAGATTGTATTCATTATAAAATACCAAAAGTAGAACAAAATGGACAAAGATCCTTTTATTTTACTTCTTCTAAATGCTTCAACTGGTTCTCCATCTGATACTCGTGAATTTAATCTTAAACAGAATAAATGCGCACGGAGGAGGGCGCAGGGCCCTCTTTTGTTTAACAACATCGACGACATCGGTAGAAAGTGAGGTACGGCATGTTAGTCATGAGGAAGAGGCGAATAAAACCGTAGAAAATATTCAGGAGCTCACGAAAGTATAAAAATTATTTTTATGCCTTTGTAATACGAAATTTGTGCGATGAATTCCTGGGTACCTGGTTATTGATCAATGGTACAATTTTTAGTCATTGACATAAGAGAGAACACATCATTTTAGACCTGATTATAATGCAGGTAAGACAGTCTAATCACTGAGAACAACTTCTTCCTCATATCCACCGTCGTTAATTGCGATGATTGTCAGTGATAATGGGTCAGTTTGTATGTTGATGTAGTACATAGTTCACTGATTGAATGTGTTAATCGAGAAAGAAGAATGATGCAATCAAAACGAGTGCGCGAAAGGTCGGTATAAGAAATACATAGGTTAATTTCAACTATTCATTGTCGTGTCACTCAATGCTACATAATTAGCACGGCGGTGAAAGTCGAAGAATAAATTTCATAACGCATTAATTAAGAAAAAAATACTTACGTATGCGGCGTGTCTTCGCCCATTAGAACGTACTCTTCGTCCGAAGGGGTGCACCAACCTATCAAGTAGGAGAAGAGGTTTGCGCAAGGCGCTGCCCAGAATCCAACTTTTGTCGTGATCGATTCGATGTAGTATGGTGTCACTTTTGTGTGATCGCAGGAGAGAGTTTCTGCAAATAAATCAGTAATTGTAATTATCTAAGTTTCAAAATCCAAATGCTTGCTGAATTTTTAATTTGCTTTATGAACATTATCATTAAATTAGTCAATGAGTAATTCGCTCTTCTGGAGACTTGTACTCTCAAAATATTTGTGCGGCAATGGTCGGATAAATGCCTTCTCATCATACTTTGCAGTGTGACGTATGGACAGTACGGAGCTAGCCGGTTGGACAGTAAATTTAGAAGAATTGATAGGTACTGGGTCGGGCTGTCAAACCCGGCTAGCGTCCTTTAGGGGTCGGGGAAGCAATCCTGCTACCCGATCCACGTTTAGAGAAACAGAGGACGCAAGTTCGTCGGCGGAATACCGATCCTGCGGATCGTTGTCGCAGAATATAGGTATATGTAGGAATATATAGGAATATAGGAATATAGGATGTGACATGGCTTTTTATTGGAAAATGTCGTCAGAAGGATTTGACCACCAGAGGGCGTACAATGTGGCTCGGGCTGACGGAGGACGTAATGGAGTGGAGCGGTGAGGACCTCGAGCTAAACTTTTATTAATAAATTTGTCTCATATTATTATTTTGATATCGCCTTTGTAATGTTTTGTATTTTACTCGATTGGAATTTCTGCAGCATTTAGGTACCTGCGTTTAAAGCATAATGGTAGTGTTTTCTGTAAGCATTTCCCGTATTAGTTTTTTTTATTTCAGCAGAGCTGAAGTAACATTAGGGTGTCTCCGATTAAAATATTCTGTTGTATTTAATATTTCTGGTCGCTCGTCTTTCGAATTAGGCGTATCTTCGCTTATATTATTACCAAATCTTTTCCCTGGGTAGCAACTGACTTGACCGGGGGATAACCGGGAGGGGACGGGTCCTTACTGACTTTCAGTAAATAATATTGACCGTACACCGTCTCTCTCTGTTGCCACTCGGGGTGACGTAAAATTTAGATTGAGCTAGCTGGCCCCTCGCGTTCAGTAGTCCGAGAATTTTTGAGGTTAAATTCTGGGTCGAGTAGAATCGAAGACAGTCCGGGAACGATACCCCGTCCGGGAACGATCCCGAACGGATACCCTGCGCGCTTCGTCCTCGCCTTCCGGGGCCGCTCTCGTGGGGAGAGCGAAAACCCATCTAGGGAAAGGACGCCGAAGGACGCGCCGGGAAATTCGGTACTTTATAGTACCTGGCGTCCGTCGAGCTTTTCTTTTGAGTCCATTGGGAAATCTAAAGGGACTATTTACGGGGCTTAAATCGAATGCGAGGGAAAGGTGCGAGGCACCCGATAAGCATTGGAAATCGGAACTGCCTCATTTGCGAAAAACGGCCCGAAAACATAAACCGCCAAAATCAGAGAAAAATACCCGCTGCAAGGAATATAGAAATAGACATTATCAGTAAAAAATAGTGGACTTCCATTTAGGAATCCCTAATGTGGCAATAAATTGGCGCCTACTTACGAAGAAGAGATGTCGTAGCGCATCCGGGCTGACTTGACCCACCGTTGACGTAGAAATCCGCGTGACCATTTGGGCCCCACTGGCCCAGGATTCCCGCTCCCGTGTGAATGATGTCGACAAAATGGGCATCCGTAACGTCTAGGTCCATCGATCTGTTTCCATTCATGTAAAAGAAAATTGTAGGATCCAGACCTGTAAAGTCATGAATTCTTATAAATCAATTTGATAGATTTCCTCTAAGGCGACTGGATTACTGCAAGCACTAAATGCTGGGTGATTCAGAAAAGAAGAGAAATATGTTAGGAAACAACAATTTGTGTCGTTACAAAAAGTTTATGTAGTGTAAGCATGATTTACACGTCTTTTCGCGATTGTCTTCGGTACCAAAAGTTGCCCATTCTGCGATGTCGAACTTTAATAAATGGAGGGGGGGCAGTACAAAAAAATGCTCAAAACGTCTTAAGAGGAAAAAGTGCACGTATTTGTACTCCATGCGTGCGCAAAAAGACGCATAACCCATGCTTTGGTACATGTGTACCATGAAAGTAAGGGTTTTTTATGATACATGTGCGTGCTACACACGATTTCGGGGCGTAGGCGCACGCGTGCTTTCGGCTCATGCACTTGCGAGTTTACGATTTATATTGCAAGATCACGCCATGCGTAAAAAGATGTATTTTATCTCTTTGGTGCATAATGTACTATTATATAAACATGGCTATTGTAGTATAAGTACCAAAAAATAGTTAAAATAAAAAAATTATATTAAGAGAGAACACATCATTTTAGACCTGATTATAATGCAGGTAAGACAGTCTAATCACTGAGAACAACTTCTTCCTCATATCCACCGTCGTTAATTGCGATNTAACATGTTACATAACATGTTACCTTACTGAGTGGGAAATAATAACTAACATCTAACTTCCACGTTACTTTTATGCTACATAACATGTTAGTTTCGAAAACGTAACATTTACCCAACAGTTATATAACAGTGTTCATTGGGAAGATGTTTTGAACTACTTATTGTAAGATCCTACCAATGCAATTGCGCCTTAAGGTGAAGTGAAACACGTCGAGGAACTTGATCGACGTCGATAAAGAAGATTTTTCTAAATGCCTACGTTGCCGACGTTCGTTTTTATATCGACAGCTGTGTCAATTATATTGGGTATTGTACCAAATGGCATACTCCACCTGTCGTTTTCGTACAATAATTATAAAGAAATCGAAGTAAAACTCTAGAAATCCTCTGAATTCATGCTTTCAGGGACCCTAATTGACTGCATAGGGACCCCCTGCGCCATCTGTGATTTCTAGGTCAATTAAATTTTCACTCGGAGACCTCGTCTTCCCATTGTTTTAGCATAGAAGCGCATACAACACTTTTTTTGCCTTTATCCCGTTCAAATGCGAGTTTATCGATTACCAGAGTGTTTTAAATTGTCGTAAAATTGTCCTGACCCTTTCGATTCTCATATCAGAGCCTTCGATAATTGCATATTGATCTAAATAAGAGAGCTCGACGCCATTTTGGTTCTGGTCTGGGCTGAGTTAAAAAATTTTCTTAAAAAATCCTATTTTTGAATGTGTCAGGACAATTCTTAGATGATCATGTATCAAAGTTTCGGACAGTTTGGTCTAATACCCTTAAAAAAAGTGTTGTATTCAAATCGACTGATTTGAAGTGGGTTTCACTTCACCTTAACACAAATGATACCTCAAATTATAACACACATTTATACCTCCTTAACTATATGATAAACTTAAATTATTTCGTGTAATGTAGTTGACAATCTATAATATTTTAATAAAAAATGAGACACAAATTATGAATGGTATTCTAGATATGAGGATATCTACACTGTTGAAAATGTTTTCATATTTCGAACATATTTTTATACTAATGTGATCGAAAACCAGGAAAAGTGGTATTCGAAATGAAAACCAGAAAACAAACTTCTTCTTTCGAACTTATGCGTAAGATTTCATCCATCGGAATCATCATTTTGATTATGAATCAAATGCGCTTTTCTCAAAATATATATATAATTGCGTATGTGTATCTGATCGAAAATCAGAATACAAAAGTACCTGAATTTTCGTACATGTCTTATATCAGCCATGCACCCGTGTATGTACCTTCGTACACAATTGCTTACGCATTTTCACAGACATGATAAAAAATGATTATGCAAAGGATTATTCGAAACTTATTATTCGTACCCTTTGAGATTCATATACTTGTATCTTAAAACCTCAAACAAAATTATAGAGGAAATTTTTCGAAATATTATACCTTGAAAACACTTCGATTACAAAAGTACTACCCAGGCACCGCTGAACGTGGAATATCCGTAAATTAATCGTATATAAATTTGTATTGAATGAATGTAAGATATATAGATATCTATGAACTCTATTTTAGATACACGCAAAGGCTATATGTCCGGACATGGTACGTAATATATACATATATCGTAGATATCTACAATAGACGGTCTATAGATATTCATATGTATTTGTAAAAGAAATTAAGTTCATAACACTTTTTGAGCAGAGTCTGTTTAAGAACTTGTTCGGTACATCTATGCAGACAAATCCTGCTGCTTTTGACACAGAAAAATTTTTTTGCAATTTTCGGGATTTGAACCCGGGACTCACGGGTAGGAATCAGGAACGTTAACAATGATGCTTATGAAGGAATAAATATTTCTCAGATTTATGAAGACCGCTCCGGTACGTCTCGATCGGTGCTAAAGATGCTTATTGTATCTTGTAAACTTATTCTTAAAAAAAAAACTCTTAAGTGAAAAATTAAGTAATTTAAAAAATTGTAACAATATGTTACAGTCATATTTTTATTTAATAGTGTATAATAAATGTATACCAATTCACTTTTAAGATACAAAACTCATAATTTTAGTACTTTATATTCTAAAAGTGCTCGAATTTCTCGAATATTATTTAAAAACATTTCATTTAAATGTGCGCAATTTTTTAGTGTAACTAGATTTTTATAATTCTGTGAAAGCTGAATATAAATAATGTAAGTTTTCTATACTTATGTCCTAATTTGTACGTCCACTATAAGCATATTATACTTCATACGGTGCATGGTAATACATCATAATGTACACAATGGTAAAAAATCAGAGTATGGACAAAATTAACAGTTTTATCGAGTTAGAATTTTGATATAAACATTAAGTACGTATGAAAAATCTTAGGTTACATGGGGTGTATTTTTATTTTTCTAAACATATTTTCAACGACGTTGATTAACCTTTGGTAGATGTCTGCTAGAGCTATTATATATTTTGTATGCGTCAAGAAATAAATAGATATTTGTAGATCAATAGTGGATATATCATTTGCATCTACAGTAGACATAGATATTTATATATATATACCCTTTAGATATTTTTTTAGGTGGATGATAGACGGTATACATTTGCTATACCTATAGACCTAATTTAGACGATTAATTTACGTATATTCCACTTCATGGCTTCATGTATAATTTTCATCTACAATAGACATAGATATTTATATACATCCTTTACATATCTTTTTAGGTGGATAACAGACGGTATACATATGCTATACCTATAGACCTAATTTAGACGATTAATTTACGTATATTCCACTTCATGGGTTGCCTGGGTAGGTTTGAAAAAGATATTTGTTACGGTGTAGATGGATAAAAAATAGTACATTCTTACCAGTGATTCGCCCTAGTTTGTCATTTGGCAAATAATTTGCCACTAAACCAGCTATGTGAGCACCTACACTGTATCCGAGCATGTGCATGTTCTCCACTTGGGTACCACGTGGATGGTCCCGAAGGTACTTGACCAACTGGGCTATGCATCGGGAACAAAAGTTTGGTCCCCACTTCACTTGGGAAAGGCATGGCTCTCGTACCAACGAACCGTAATCCACGATAATTATATTGTACTCGCCCCGAGTGAAGTAAGCTGAAAGGATAGGACATTTACTGTGAAATCGTGAAGAAGCAAGACACTTTCGTCACTATAGAGCCTACCGCAACTATCCCATCATCATCATTTGTTATTTTCATCGTTATCTCCCACGTATTATTAATCCAAGAGGACTGTATTTTTCACGTATTTCCTAAGACGTTGAAATTCACATTTCCGTCAGATCTCAAAGAGACTCTTATATTTACAACGAGTACATCTCGCATAATACTTGATATCAAGGTGAAGTGAAACACGTCGAGGAACTTGATCGAAGTCGATAAAGAAGATTTTTCTAAATGCCTACGTTTTCGACGTTCGTTTTTATATCGACAGCTGTATTGAATTATATTGGGTATTGTACCAAATGGCATACTCCACCTGTCGTTTTCGTACAATATATATCAAGAAATCGAAGTAAAACTCCAGAAATCCTCTGAATTCGTGCTTTCTGGGGCCCTAATTGACTGCAGAGGGACACCCTGCGCCATCTGTGATTTCCAGGTGAATTAAATTTCCCCTTTGAGACCCCGGATTACCATCGTTTTAGCATAGAAGCGCATACAACACTTTTTTTGCCCTTATCCCGTTCAAATGCGAGTTTATCGATTACCAGAGTGTTCCAAATTGTCGTAAAATTGTCCCGATCCTTTCGTTTTTCATGTCGAAGCCTTCGATGATTGTATATTGATCGAAATATGGGAGCTCGACGCCATTTTGGTTCTGGTCTGGGCTATGTAAACAAATTTGTTCCAAAAATCCAAATTTTGAATATGTCAGGACAATTCTTAAATGACCAGGAGTAATGTGTCCAAGTTTCGGACAGTTTGGTCTATGGCCCTTAAAAAAAAGTGTTGTATTCGAATCGACTGATTTGAAGGGTGTTTCACATCACCTTAAGGTGATGTGAAAGTGGCATCGAGAAGGATTTGTTCATAAAACTTATCTCCCAACTCGGTTTACCGAATAGTTTGAAACTTTACAACGTGAATAGGGAGACTATAAGGAAGGTCCTGAAACTCATGAAATTTCAATTGTTTTCAAATTTCTTTATAGGTATTTTAAAAATAGTTTATAAAAAATGAGATTTCGCGAGTTTCAGGACCTACCTTAGAGTTTCCATATTCACGTTTCAAAGTATGAAACGATTTGAAACTTCCAGTTCGTAGGAAAGTTTTATGAACGATTGAGCTATCGGATGTCACTTTCACATCCCCTTAATTACCTGAAAATTAAAATTGAATTGCCGCGTTCGAAGTATCTTTTTTTAGCTAGCTATTTTTCGCGAAAGATACTGAAAAACCTATCTTAATTAAAATTTCAAGAATGATACGAAAATCTGCATGATAAAAAAGAATAGTTCACATGTTATGATTCAATATTACACCAAGTGCACATAGAACATTGTAGCTTATCTAAATAGTGGAAAATAGTCCATAGAAAAGTACTCGTGAGAAACGTAATTATAATATATCATTTACTATCTTGGAAGCGAGTTGTCTTCTCTTGTATAGTATGAAAAAAAAATTAATTCATAATGTGTGTTAAACTCTATGGATTGTAGTAACCTGTAACAACATGCAAAACAAGAGCGACGTGGTCATACTTATTTGCCTATTAAATTACATCGAGGTAGTAAACATAATAAAGTTAATGGGATGATGCTTTGATTAGAGGAATTTCTTTTTAGCAGTTAGTAATTATATTTCATTACAGCACACCCTCAATATATTCTATCGTTCGGTTCAAGCGTAATTTATATGTTATATATATACACGCGATTCAAGAGTATGCATTCATATTATTTAATGTACACGGAAATTAATTGTTACATATGTTAATAATAAGTATGGTGAATTCAATAAATATTACTCTATTTTTAATTTACCTAAAACACGAATGTTATCATAACATTGCGAATTTTATCAAGCATTTTGCCGGACCAGGACCAAGACCAAGACTGCAAGACCAAGACCGATTTTGCTCATCACTAACTCGTAAGTGCAGTGCCGTACAAGTTCTGTTGACATTTAAGGTGAAGTGAAACACGTCGAGGAACATGATCGACGTCGATAAAGAAGATTTTTCTAAATGCCTACGTTGCCGACGTTCATGTTTATATTGACAGCTGTGTCGAATTATATTGGATATTGTACCAAATGGCATACTCTACCTGTCGTTTTCGTACAATAATTATAAAGAAATCGAAGTAAAACTCCAGAAATCCTCTGGATTCATGCTTTCTGGGGCCCTAATTGACTGCAGAGGGACCCCCTGCGCCATCTGTGATTTCCAGGTCAATTAAATTTTCACTCCGAGACCTCGTATTCCCATCGTTTTAGCATAGAAGCGCATACAACACTTTTTTTGCCTTTATCCCGTTCAAATGCAAGGTTATCGATTACCAGACTGCTCTAAATCGTCATAAAATTGTTCTGACCCTTTCGTTTCTCATATCAGAGCCTTCGATAATTGTATACTGATCGAAAGAACGCGATGCCACTTTTGGTTCTGGTCTGGGGTAAGTTAAAAAATTTCTTCAAAAAATCCAAATTTTGAATGTGTCAGGACAATTCTTAGATGATCAGGAGTGACGTGTTAAAGTTTCGGACAGATTGGTCTAATACTCTTAAAAAAAAAGTGTTGTATTCGAATCGACTGATTTGAAGGGGGTTTCACTTCACATTAAGGTGAAGTGAAACACGTCGAAGAACTTGATCGACATCAATAAAGAAGATTTTTCTAAATGCCTACGCTGCCGACGTTCGTTTATATATTGACAGCTGTGTCGAATTATATTGGATATTGTACCAAATGGCATACTCTACCTGTCGTTTTCGTACAATAATTATAAAGAAATCGAAGTAAAACTCCAGAAATCCTCTGGATTCGTGCTTTCTGGGGCCCTAACTGACTGCAGAGGGACCCCTGCGCCATCTGCGATTTCCAGGTCAATTAAATTTTCACTCCGAGACCTCGTATTCCCATCGTTTTAGCATAGAAGCGCATACAACACTTTTTTTGCCTTTATTCCGTTCAAATGCGAGTTTATCGATTACCAGAGTGTTCTAAATTGTCTTAAAATTGTCCTGACGCTTTCGATTCTCATATCAGAGCCTTCGATGATTGTATATCGATCGAAATATGAGAGCTCGACGCCATTTTGTTTCTGGTCTGGGCTAAGTTAAAAAATTTTTTCTAAAAATCCAAATTTTGAGCGTGTCAGGACAATTCTTAGATGATTAAGAGTGATGTATCAAAGTTTCGGACAGTTTGGTCTAGTACCCTTAAAAAAAAGTGTTGTATTCGAATCGACTGATTTGAAGGGGGTTTCACTTCACCTTAAATGTGCACCTAGTGTCCAAAACGTACGTTCAACTCATCCTAATTATTTTGACAATCATTTTTTAGTAATCAACGAGCGACGGCTATAATCTTGTGGTGATTACTCAGAAGGGTGACCTTGACAGCACATATCAAGGTCAAGGTCATTGGAGGTGGGTCCCCAAAACTCCAGTTTTACCCAACATGGTAACTCACAATGTTTATCAACTTTACTGATCCAGGTTTATCGTTATTTTTATTCTCGTGTATTACAATGAATGTTCAGAATAACGATCTTTAAAATTTACATATTCTTCAAAACGTACAATCACTGATTACTCCAGAATACTACGAAAAACACGATAAAATGCGTTACTATGGTCTATGCATAGCAGATACTATTGAAAATGAACAGTAATTTCTGATTGTTCGTTTTGGAAAGTGTGTTAATTCTGAAGATCATCATTTTGAATATTTATTGTGATGCACAAAAGCAAAAGTAATGACAAACCCGAATTAACAAACCTGATGAACATATTGCATCTTACTGTGTTTTTCTGAAAATCAAGGGTTCGAATGAAACGAATCCTGGTAATTTAAAAGTAATGTTATATGAAAATTTGCAAGGAAAGTACCGCTATGTCAAAAACATTGCTAAGTACAGGACGGCAACGAATCTTCTTTTCAAAAATTACTATTTTTGTCCTACATTAAGTTTCTGCACAAACATTACTGAAACCGTATCACAGGGCTAAATATGGTTGACACTTACAAGGAAACATTCCCAAGTGTCCGCCCCCGATCTTATTGATTTTCATATATGTTGAAGAACACAAAAATCTAAGAGACACGTGTTTTTTTATATCTGCAATGGTCCACATTTAAGGGGTGAAACAACCCCCCAAAGTTTGGCGAAAATTCGATTTTTATAACAATTTTCGTAGAAGCAATGGAGGGATTTCGACGAAACTTGGTATAAACGTATTCCGTATAAGGATGGTGAAAACACAATATTGTCCAGCAATGCTACACCCCCCCAAGGGGGTGAACTACCCTTCAAGCGACATTTTTTTGTAATATCTATTAAACGAGCATTCCTACTTAAGTCCCACTTACGCGATGTGATTACTCACAAAAAATGAAGAAATACGTGTTTTTTGCTTTTTGCCAATAAACATTTACACATCGGTTGTAAACAATGAATGTAGATGGTGTACGGGTATATTTCGACCAGCTATATTGGATTATATCGTGACCAATTCATTGTACATAAATCTTGTGAACGTGCTTATTCCTCAAAATGTCCTTGGTTTTCATAGCATGCAATTATTTATAAATAAATTTGAAAAAAAGTTTAAGAGACTAAAATAGTTTCGCACCAGATCCGATGACGCAGTCATCACCCGTTTCCAACTAGTAATACAATCTCCTTGGTGAAACGGTAAAATTGGATTTTTACTGTTTTTACGATAATAGAGTTAGCAATATTCGTAAATAATTGCATATTATGACAACTAACGACATTTTGAGGAATAAGCACGTTCACAAGATTTATGTACAATGAATTGGTCACGATATAACCCAATAAAGCTACTCGGAATATACCCGTATACCACCTACATTCATTGTTTACAACCGATGTATAAATGTTTATTGGTAAAAAGCAAAAAACACGGATTCTTCATTTTTAGTGAGCAATCACATCGCGTAAGTGGAACGTAAGTAGGAGTGCTTGTTTATTAGATATTACAAAAAAATGTCGCCTGTAGGGTAGTTCACCCCCTTGGGGGGGTGTAGCATTGCTGGACAATATTGTGTTTTCACCGTCCTTATACGGAATACGTTTATACCAAGTTTCGTCGAAATTCCTCCACTGCTTCTACGAAAATTATTATAACAACTGAATTTTCGCCAAACTTTGGAGGGTTGTTTCACCCCTTAAATGTGGACCATTGCAGATATAAAAAAACACGTGTCTGTTAAATTTTTGTGTTCTTCAACATATATGGAAATCAATAAGATCGGGGGCGGACACTTGGGAATGTTTCCTTGTTAATATCGTCTCGTCTCGACTGATTTGAAGGGGGTTTCACTTCACCTTAAGGTAAACTAAAACACGTTGAGGAACTTGATCGACGTCGATAAAGAAGACTTTTCTAAATACCTACGCTGCCGACGTTCGATTTTACATTGATACCTGGTCCAAATTATATTGGGGATTGTACTTAATGGCATCCTTCACCTGTCGTTTTCGTACATTAATTATAAAGAAATCGATGTAAAACTTCAGAAATCCATTGGATTCATACTTTCTGGGGTCCTAATTGACTGCAGAGGGACCCCCTGCGCCATCTGTGATTTCCAGGTCAATTAAATTTTCACTCCGAGACCTTGTATTCCCATTGTTGTAGCATAGTAGCGCATACAACACTTTTTTGCCTTTATCCCGTTCAAATGCGAGTTTATCAATTACCAGAGTGCTCTAAATTGTCGTAAAATTGTCCTGATCCGTCCGATTCTCATATCAGAGCCTTCGATAATTGTATATTGATCGAAATATGAGAGCTCGACGCAATTTTGGTTCTGGTCTGGGCTAAGTTAAAAAATTTGTTAAAAAAAATCCAACTTTTGAATGTGTCAGGGCAATTCTTAGATGATCAGGAGTGATGTGTCAAGATTTCGGATAGTTTGGTCTAATACCATTAAAAAATCTATTGTATTCGAATCGACTGATTTGAAGGGGGTTTCACTTCACCTTAAGGTAAAGTAAAACACGTCGAGAAACTTGATCGACGTCGATAAAGAAGACTTTTCTAAATACCTACGCTGCCGACGTTTGTTTTTACATTGACACCTGGTTCGAATTATATTGGGGATTGTACTAAATGGCATCCTTCACCTGTCGTTTTCGTACATTAATTATAAAGAAACCGATGTAAAACTTCAGAAATCCTTTGGATTCATACTTTCTGGGGCCCTAATTGACTGCAGAGGGACCCCCTGCGCCATCTGTGATTTCCAGGTCATTTAAATTTTCACTCCGAGACCTCGTATTCCCATCGTTTTAGCATAGAAGCCCATACAACACTTTTTTTGCCTTTATCCCGTTCAAATGCGAGTTTATCGATTACCAGAGTGCTCTAAATTGTCGTAAAATTGTCCTGACCCTTTCGTTTCTCTTATCAGAGCCTTTCTATAATTGTATATTGATCGAAATATGAGAGCTCGACGCAATTTTGGTTCTGGTGTGGGCTAAGTTAAAAAATTTCTTCCAAAAATCCAAATTTTGAATGTGTCAGGACAATTCTTAGGTGATCAGGAGTGATGTATCAAGGTTTCGGACAGTTTGGTCTAATACCCTTAAAAAAAACTGTTGTATTCGAATTGACTGATTTTAAGGGGGTTTCACTTCACCTTAATGTCATTGCCAGACTTCAAATGTAATTTTTCATGTTATCATATTATCTTATGCTTACTACTTATCGTAAATTGGCGCTAGCATATCTATGATTTTGAAATATGCATACACTTTTTTATTACCCTTTCGAAGATCCGTGCTAGGTGCTAAATTTCTTCCACCGCCAAAACCATGGATAATTATTTTTGTTTGATGTGCTTTGTTAAACCGAGAGTACTGGAGTGAATTGAAGTCTTGAACATCCAGGAGCAATGGATCGTGTTGCGTATCTCTGCGAAATTAGGTCAAATAGTGATTATTGCGTTTTGCTAACTTCTAAAAATGATCGTTTAATCAGTACGCGTTGCAAGGATAATTACTTCAAATGCATGCATTCTTTATCCACGATTCGAATGGATTGAACGATATATGAGCCGCTCAGTGCACACATTGATTAACTCCATAAAACAAAAAGTTGAGAAATGCGATGAAGTAATGTAGATTCTTTTCTAAAATTCCTATTATAATATAACTTCAAATATATAATGTAGAATACATAAATACAGTTATAGTTTTCATTTAACGGTATATAAAATTAATAAGAAAGCATAGCCAAAAAATAATCGTCTGCATTTTATATCGACGAATGTTTTTGCAGGTATTAAATTTCCTCCCCTATTCCTGTATGCCAAACCTTTTCTTCCGTTATGCTTTTGTAAATTTCGTGCCCATTTATCAGGATTACGACTTCTTTTCCTTCCAATCGATGTGTTTGTTGGGGAATTTGTACCGTTGCAATCAGATGAATCCGAGAAACACGATAAACGTCTTCTTGCCCCAGACTTTCTGCTGATAAATCGTATCGAAGAATCATCACTGCTTTCCACATCCACATTGTTATTAGTTTCACTCATCTTGATTACAACGGTATAATATTTAGTTCTTTAAAAACAATCAGGGAGTAATGTTGAAAAGACCAAAAAATATGTAGTCCGTGTAATATTGGTGAAGTATACGGTAACATTCAGCGTGAGAGATCACTGTTATACTAACTACCGTCTGCATTGCGCTTCTTTCTATCTGTTTGCTGATGCGATTTTATTACTCATATTGTTGAAAGAGGGAAAGCATCTTCGGCTGTTTAAAAAAAAAAGCGTCGATGTACGGCCGCAACAGATAATCCAATAATACTATACTGCCAGGTATTCGTCTACGATTTACATTAGAGGATGGAGTTAATCAAAATGGCTTCTGAAATAAATTACTTATTATTCGATGCCCAAAAAAATTTTGCCGTTTAATGGTGTTAATCTCTATTAATCAGGAAAGATATTATAAATATAAACAGTTATGACTATACCAAGGGCTTTGACACCCAAATTTAAGATTTTTCAAAAAGTGGAGTTAGTCGATGTGTGCACTGAGCGGCTCATATGTGTAATAAGTACAGCTAGTAAATTGGCCAACAATAAATAAATTGGCAGCGATCTACAGATGAAGTTATAACTACAAGATGACATTTTTATATCTTGCAATGTAGAAAAAAATAAATATACAGAGGGAGTCTTATAAAGAATCAAAAATAGATGGGATATAATAAATGCGGAGGCACGTCTATTAGGTTAATTTATCATACACTGTTGAATGGAAAATCAGTATTCAATTGCAAATTCAACAGCGTACTAAGACACATTGTAATATTATTATAATGTAAATACTGTTGTTCGTGATTTACAGTCGATCAGAGCATCGTAGGAAATAAATCTAATCTATTTTGGGACTTTCACAAGACTCACCCTGCATATTACCTGTTTGCATTTTATTGCATTTTATCCTCGTCTGTTATATGCGTATTGTACACGTCAATGCAGTGAAAAAGCCTTTAAAAAACGGTGTGGTGTATATTATTATATATTTTATGATTTTCAAAATTTAAGCACTCTTTTACATAAATAAATTATATTTAATAACGAACACAGCTTGTCACCTAATTTGATATTAAACATTTTATTATGATTTTCTGAAATGTTTTATAATTTATAATCTGAAAGATAATATAAATATACTTAAGGGGTTACACCACTTTGACGCACTCAAAAATTACGGTTTTTTCAAGAATTTTTTTTAACAGTTAAAACGTTTTTATCTAAATTAAAGTACAGTAAGGTATTATACTACTATTAAACTCGCTCACTGCGAAAATCGGTGATCGTGCGGTGGGCAGGTGGATAGGTGTAAACGCGTTTTTTTTAAAACTGCATTTTAAAAATCGGTGGGCACTCTAGCTCCGCCAATTTTCAATCAATTGCCTTGATTCTTTTTTTATTTTAGTCCTGATATGTTTATCTAGCGAAATACGTATGGTTTTTTCAATGTATTGATATTCGCATTATTTATGCAACATTAATTAACGAAATTTAGGGCAAAATACGTATCTTTCCTTTCAAATCGATGCCATTTTGTGAAAAATGCATATTTTTGAAAACGGCTACGTATTTCGCTAGCTTTTGGGCTACGGAAACTAACTCTTTTTCGTTTATTGTTCTAACTTAAACCTGGACTGAGTTATCGTGCCCACCGCACGATCATCGATTTTCGCAGCGCTCCGGTAAATCGCCTTTCAAACCGCCATTTTTATAAATAAGACAAATACAAAAAAAGCATTTTGTTGTTTAATAGTAGTATAATACCTTACTGTCCTTTAATTGGGATAAAAACGTTTTAATTCTTAAAAAATAAATTCTTGAAAAACCGTAACTTTTGGGTGGGTCAAAATGGTGTAACCCCTCAATGTGGATATTTGCCAATTTTCAATCAATCGTCTTGATTTTTTTTTTATTTTTTTCATGATATGTTTATCTAGCGAAATACGTATGGTTTTTTCAATGTATTTATATTCGCATTATTTATGCAACATTAATTAACGAAATTTAGGGCAAAATACGTATCTTTCCTTTCAATTCGATGCCATTTTGTGAAAAATGCATGTTTTTGAAAACGGCTACGTATTTCGCTAGCTTTTGGGGTACAGAAACTAATTATTTTTCGTTAATTGTTCTAACTTAAACCTGGACTGAGTTATCGTGCCCACCGCACGATCATCGATTTTCGCAGCGCTCCGGTAAATCGCCTTTCAAGCCGCCATTTTTGTAAATAAGAAAAATACAAAAAAAGCATTTTTTTGTTTAATAGTAGTACAATACCTTACTGTACTTTAGTTTGGATAAAAACGTTTTAATTCTTAAAAAAAATTCTTGAAAAACCGTAATTTTTGGGTGGGTCAAAGTGGTGTAACCCCTTAATGTGGATATTTGACATCTTTAAAATGCTACTGTTTCACTTTCACCTTCCCCTCAGTCATTTTCTTGGTATACGTCTTTTACTTATTATTAGTACTGCCCAGTTAATAGTATCCACTTACTGAGACCAATTAGTCTCAAAGAATTTGATTCAATTTCATCGAATTAAGGTGAAGTGAAACACGTCGTGGCACTTGATCGACGTCCATAAAGAAGATTTTTCTAAATGCCTACGTCGTTGACGTTCGTTTTTATATCGACAGCTGTATCGAATTATATTGGGTATTGTACCAAATGGCATACTCCACCTGTCGTTTTCGTACAATAATTATAAAGAAATCGAAGTAAAACTCCAGAAATCCTCTGGATTCATGCTTTCTGGAGCCCTAATTGACTGCAGAGGGACACCCTGCGCCATCTGTGATTTCCAGGTCAATTAAATTTTCACGCCAAGACCTCGTATTCCCATCGTTTTAGTATAGAAGCGCATACAAGACTGTTTTGCCTTTATCCCGTTCAAATGCGACTTTATCGATTACCAGAGTGTTCTAAATTGTCGTAAAATTGTCCTCACCCTTTCGATTCTCATATCAAAGCCTTCGATAATTGTATATCGATCGAAATATGAGAGCTGGACGCCATTTTGGTTCTGGTCTGGGCTAAGTTAAAAAATCTTGTCAAAAAATTCAAATTTTGAATGTGTCAGGACAATTCTTAGATGATGAGGAGTGATGTGTCAAAGTTTCAGCCAGTTTGGTCTAATACTCTGAAAAAAAGGTGTTGTATTCGAATCGACTGATTTGAAGGGGGTTTCACTTCACCTTAAAACGACGGAATCCATATTTTAATTTTTTTTTTATGTTATGCCAACGAAGATGCGACATTTTTTAAGGAACAGTCAAGGAATCGAATTTGACATGGAATGACCTGAAATTTACATACGACTGCGTACATATACACAGTATAGCACTGGCGCAGCCTGGAGAAAGGTTCGCTTAAAATTGAGGTCACTTTCGATACCAGTAAAAGTGATCGTGATCTTGAAACGAAAAGTCTTTCTCGAAAGCTAGACTCACTTGCGACGAAAGTCGTATGGAATATCAAAAGTTACCTTAAGGTGATGTGGAAGGTGACGAGAAATTTTATCAGCGCCGATAAAAAAGAATATTAATATATAACCCAACTAATAAATGATTTGAAACTGCGTTCTACGTTACTGACATTTACATTTATATTTGTTGTTGTCTATTACACTCTACATTATGAATTGTAAGAAATGACATACTCCATATGGCATTTCAGTGGAATGCTTATGAAGCAATCTAAATAAAATTGATGAAATTCCCTGGATTCGTGATTTTTTATGGTGTAGTCAGTTATGGCGCCATCTGGTGTATTCAGCGACAACTATTTTTTTGGAAGCAGTTACTGCAAGCAGGGCTAATGATACTTATTGCATCTTGTTGTAAATTTAATCTTAAAGAAACTCGTAAATGATTATAAAATTGAAAAGTTAAAAGAATTGTTACAGTTTGGTATAAAATCATCATTTAATTTAGAAATGCATGATAAATGTATACTGATATACTTTTAAGATATTAAATTCGTAATTTTACTACAATCTTATACACTAAAAGTGCATGATGTGAATAGTGCATTATGAATATTTTTAAGGATATTTCATTTTAATGTGCGCAATTTTTTACAGTGTTTAATTACATTTTTGTAAGTTTGTAGAAGCTGAATATAAACTATTAAGCTGGATATAAACTATCAATTTAACGTTTTCGAACAGTTTAGATATCTACATATGTTATCTACACTTTTGTAACACATGCACTGAGAATATAAGCGTGGAAAGAGATTTACATATATACTCACGGGATATTTTTATTATCCATACCATATAATTTTCTATATTTATGTCCTAATTTTGACGTCCAATATAAGTATATTATACTTCATATATGCTTGATAAAGCACCATAATTTACATAGCAGTTAAAAATCGTGATGTATGGTCACCAACCAAGGAGGAAATAAATAAAAAAATCAGAGTACGGACGAAATTAATTGTTTTATCAAGTTGGAATGTAGATATAAACATTAAGTATGAATTAAAAATGTTAGGTTATATAAGGTGTCTTTTCATTTTTCTAAATGTATTATCAACGATGTTGATTAACCTTTGGTAGATGTCTACCAACGCTATTAAATATTTTGTATGCGTCAGGAAATAATTAGATATTTCTCGATGAACAGTGGATATATAACTTTCATCTACAAGAGATATAGATATTTATGTATGTCGTTTAGGTATCTATAAAATATATTGTGCAGCCATGTACATAAAATAGATCTATATATTTACAAAAGACATTTATTTTAGGTGGATGATAAACGATATACGTTTACTATACCTATTGATCTAATTTAAATTAGTAATATGCGGACATTGTACTTTGTGCGGTGCCTGGGAAGTAATTTATTCATTATCTCAAAGCATTGTTCGATAACGAAAACAATGGACGTACTATAAAAGTATCATGTAACATTCTGTGATAATAAACAGAGAACAGTAACATCTGTATTCTTTAGGAAGGTTTATAATAAAAGTATAGTTATAAATAAATGATAACTGCTCTTTATGTGGAAGGAAAGTGACTACTTTCTGCCCTCGGGAGATAAAGTGTAATATTACACGTAATAGTTAACTTTCACAACGCTCGACAGATTCTGAAAGTCGGATTTTTGGTGGAGGGAGGATGACAATTTTTTTTTAATTTTTTGACAGATTCTGAAAGTCGGTTTTTTGGTGGAGGGAGGATGACAATTATTTTTTAATTTTTTGACAGATTTTGAAAGTCGGTTTTTTGGTGGAGGGAGGATGACAATTATTTTTTAATTTTTTGACAGATTTTGAAAGTCGGTTTTTTGGTGGAGGGAGGATGACAATTATTTTTTAATTTTTTGACAGATTTTGAAAGTCAGATTTTTGGTGGAGGGAGGATGACAATTTTTTTTTTTTATTTTTTGACAGACTTCTTAAGAGTATTATTTTCTTCGGGTTAATGTCTAATGAAATTGGAGGTTGGTGCATATCATAGTTACTAGTACGTTTATTTATTCATCGATTGTTGCATTACCCTGGATTACTCATTATCTTGTTATATTACATTGAATTACTTTATTTAATGTATGGTTGTGTTAAAGCGAAACTTATTTAAACATGCTACATTATATTGATGATTGGAACATTTTTTTTAATTATCCTAAAAATGTAATTGTTTGAAGTATGATTAAAACTTGCCTGGTATAAAGATAGAATTCAATTTGCGGATGTGGACACCTAAATGGCGGTTTCGCGCACGACGTGTTGTTGAATAGGTCCTTCAAAGATTTCTCCTGCGCCTGCACATGCCCTATATTAAATATNTTATGAGCCTTTTTCCAAATCCTAGTAAAATCGTAAAATTCGGCCGGTTATCTTCGCATAAGCACCTCTTTTTCGCCCGGCACTAAAAGGGTTAAGACACCTCTAATATTAAGGTGAAATGAAAGCTGGCGGGAAATATAAAATAGTAATATATAGTGTAACGTAGATAGTCAGTAGAATTTTTTTCCGATAACGACTAAATTTCTCTAGGGGTTTCACTTCGCCTTAAGGTGAAGTTAAACGCGTCGAAGAACTTGATCGACGTCGATAAAGAAGATTTTTCTAAATACCTACGCTGCCGACATATTTACAATAGACATTTTTTGCAGTCACCTTTGGTATACGTATTAACCTAATTTATACGTGTTATATACGGATATTGTACCTCATACAGTGCCTGGGAAATTTGTATTGTATATAAAATAGATCTGTATATTTAAAATAGACATTTTTTTAAGTCACCTTTGGTATACGTATTAACCTAATTTATACGTGTTATATACGGATATTGTACCTCATACAGTGCCTGGGAAATTTGTATTGTATATAAAATAGATCTGTATATTTACAATAGACATTTTTTTAAGTCACCTTTGGTATACGTATTAACCTAATTTATACGTGTTATATACGGATATTGTACCTCATACGGTGCCTGAGAAATTTGTATTGTCTATAAAATAGATCTGTATATTTAAAATGGACATTTTTTTAAGTCACCTTTAGTATACGTATTAACCTAATTTATACGTGTTATATACGGATATTGTACCTCATACAGTGCCTGGGAAATTTGTATTGTATATAAAATAGATCTGTATATTTACAATAGACATTTTTTTAAGTCACCTTCGGTATACGTATTAACCTAATTTATACGTGTTATATACGTATATTGTACCTCATACGTTGCCTGGGAAATTTGCAATCGGTCTTGCCGGGATGAGGTAAGTAATTTTTAACTTACACTTTTTCTTACGGGTCTACATAACACTCATATTAATATTTTATATAAGAATGAAACGTAAGAAAAATACGTATCGTTTTGGTGCATCTTGTATATAATATGTACCATCCTTAAAAAAATGTCTTCGTATGTACGTTTTCATTATCGGATATCTAAGTTTTAATAGAACAATAATTTTGTATTTATTACATCATCAAGGTAATTAATCCGATGTCTTTTTATATTTCCAAAATTGAAGAGATTTCGATCAGCGGTTGCATAAATATATGAACTAATGAATAAAACAACTGAATAATAATAATAAACTGGAATGTTAAGTAAAACATCAATATTGCAGCTTTTAATAGAACAATAATTTTGTATTCATTACATCATCAAGGTAATTAATAATAACCCGATGTTTTTATATATTTCCAAAATTGAAGAGATTTCGATCAGCGGTTGCATAAATATATGAACTAATGAATAAAACAACTGAATAATAATAATAAACTGGAATGTTAAGTAAAACATCAATATTGGCGCATAATCATTTTAGAAGAAAGAAGACCCTAGTAGCACAAAATATTTGTCCTAATTTTCTATATATTTGACGAATATCGTACATTTTGTAAATATTTAGCAGACATTTGAAATATTTGCAAAACGTTTACTTTAGAATATTATCCCTATAATATTTATATAATATTAGCTCCATGTGTTTTCATAATATTGTTTTACCAGATATACGAAACATTTCGTTTTATTTTAATACAAGTATTTTTTCAATATTATCTGCCGAATACATTATAAGCATTTTAAAAATATTTAAAATCAAAATCATACGTTTTGCTCCCATAATGAAATAGCGGAACGAAAATATTAGAAAAATTTCTCGTGTTTTTTGATACCAAATGAAGTGTCCGATAATAGTCGTGAAGTAAAAGAAATGTATTTTTATTATATGTTCATAAATTAAAAAAATGTAATTTCTATATATGTTTATAAATTATTGAAACTAAATATGTCACTGAGATTTTCAACAAATATTTCAGATATCTTCGAATGAAATCTACAAGAAATCTTAAAAAATCTATCGCTTGAGATATTTAGCATAGATTACAAAGAAATATTTAGAAATTATTTTATGCTACTAGGGGAGAAGCGAATTTTTATGTATGTAAATAGAAATATGCTTATGGCGTATATATTTTTATTTTTATATCGTATGAAACTGGTTTGGGCGAATTACTTGCCACAATAATTAATCATTTGATCTATAATAAAAAAAGAATTACATAAAATAAACACAAGGTCTCATGTTACTTCACGCTCTTCTTTCTGGATTATCTGCTCCAATAATACGTACGTCATTAGTGATTAATTATAGTTGCACTTTTTATTAGATATGGTTGTCAACTGCATATTCCTATCTTTACTTTACTTAAGTAGATCATGGTAAATATTAATTATTTATTCCCGATTGATTTTATCGAACGAGAAAATAAAATGAGGTTGATCTCGTTAGAATCTAATTAGTACTCATTCCATAAAAAGGACTGAGATAACCGGTTTACATCGCTGGTATTTCGGTCAGCCGGTACTTTTACTCGCATTTTCCTTAGCTACGATCACAAAGTAGTCATTAGATGCGCTTCGGCAAATATAAAAGTTTTTACTATGGAACATTAGGTTTCCATACATTATTCCATTCAATATATTACCACCCAAGTTAAGAATAAAATAGAAATTTGTCAGAAATGCTGTCTCAAACATGTTATTCAAATTTTTGAAAAAATACATATAGTCCGAGAAATTATTAATTTCAAATGAAATGGGTCTCAATTTTCTGACGTCGAACACCCAAAAATTTGTATTATAACTTTTATTTATTATTAATTTGATATAATTTATTGATGAAAAATTATATAAATTATGTATGGATGCGTCATTTTACTGTTGAGTTTTGTCTTAAAGTGGTAAATAAAATAAACATTTGTAAGACAATAAAATTTATAATTTTATGTGTCTGAAATGTTATTAAGTTCTACAATTATGTAACATTTCAATTTTTGCCGTAAAAGAGTTTGCTTAGAATGATGTTTCAAAAATTACTATTTTATCGAGTAAACTGAACGTAAAATAGAAGACTTGAACACAGTACATTAATGTGTTGCAAAACTGTAATACTAAATATCCAGGCACCGCGCAACGTGGAATATCCGTAAATTAACCGTATATAAATGTTCATTGAAAGTATGTAAAAAATATATATATATATTTAAACATTTACGTATTTAAAACTGTATTTTAGATACACTCAAAGGCTAGATATCCGAATACGATGCGTAATATTATATATATAGTTGATATCTACAATAGATGATCAATCCACGTCTATAGATATTCCTATGTATTTATAAAAAAAAATGAAATTCATAACACTTTTTGAGCCGTGTCTGTTTGAGAACTTGTTCAGTACAGTTATACAGAGAAATCCTGCTGTTTTTGACACAGAAAAATTTGTTTGCAATTGTCGAGATTTGAACCCGGGAGTCACGAGTAGGAAGTTTTAATTAATTAACCATGATGAAGCATTAATTAATTAACCAAAGCTTATAAAGGAATAAATATTTTGCCGCTCCGGTACTTCTCGATCGATGCTAAAGATACTTATTGCATCTTGTAAACTTATTCTTAAAAAAATACTCGTAAGTGATTGTAAAATTAAGTAATTTGAAACATTGTAACAGTATGTTATAAAATCATCTTTTCATTTAAAAGTGTATAATAAATGTATACCGATTCACTTTTAAGACACTAAATTCGTAATTTTAGTACAGCCTTATATAATAAAAGTGCATGAAATCTTGAATAGTATATTAAGATATTTCGTTTAAATGTGCGCAATTTTTTACAGTGTAACTCCATTTTTATTAGCCTGTAGAAGCTGAATATAAACTATCAATTTAACGTTTTTCAATAATTTAAATTTCTGTATAGGTTATTTAGACTTCTATGATATATGTACTGAAAATATACGCGTGAAAAAGACATACATAAATATTCACGGGATATTTTTATTATATATATATATCATAGATGATGTAAGTTTTCTATACTTATGTTCTAATTTGTACGTCCCCTATAAGTATGTTCTACTTCATAAGGTGCCTGGTAATTCATCATAATTTATATAGTGATAAAAAATCATGATGTATGGTCACCAGCCAAAGACGAAGTAAATAAAAAATCAAAGTATGGACGAAGCTAACAGTTTTATCAAGTTGTAATTTAAATATAATCATTAAGTATGTATTAAAAGTGATAGGTTACACGAGGTGTCTTTTTATTTTTCTAAACATATTTTTATAGAAGTTGATTAACCTTTGGTAGATGTCTACTAGAGCTGTTATATATTTTGTATGCGTCAAGAAATAAGTGTATGAGTAATTTGTAAAAACAAAGTCCGTCCTAAAACATCTTTCGAAAGATACCTTGACCTCGTTAACGCATGCGACACTGACATCCAGATGACCTATTGTAACAGACTGACATGTTTCAAGTATTTCCAAATGTCATTGAGCAAATTTAAGGTGAAGTGAACCCCCTTCAAATCAGTCGATTCGAATACAACACTTGTTTTTAAGGGAATTAGACCAAACTGTCCGAAACTTTAACACATTTCTTATCATCTAAGAATTGTCCTGACACATTCAAAATTTGGATTTTTGGAAGAAATTTTTTAACTTAGCCCAGACCAAAATCAAAATGGCGTCGAGCTCTCGTATTTCGATCGATATACAATTATCGAAGGCTCCGATATGAGAACCGAAAGGGTCAGGACAATTTTACGACAATTTAGAACACTCTGGTAATCGATAAACTCGCATTTGAACGGGATAAAGGCAAAAAAAGTGTTGTCTGCGCTTCTATGCCAAAACGATGGTAATACGACGTCTCGGAGTGAAAATTTAAGGTGAAGTGAAACCCCCTTCAAATCAGTCGATTCGAATACAACACTTTTTTTTAAGGATAAA